CACGATTGCAGGGATGCAGCCAACGCTCGCAAAGCGCTGAACAATCGCATGATTTTCGGTGCTCGCTTGGCATTTGCCCCGAATACTCTTCACGGCGGTCTCCCATCATCCCCTCAGCAGATGGGTTACCCATCCTCATTGGTACGTCCAGTTTGCGTATGGAGTTGAATATTGTCGTGATGTATCTCATTTTAGAACGTCAACGACCAAACCGGTACGACCGGTACGAAATTTATGAAGCGCCGCCGCCGTCACGAAATACTGACCCCCGTAACCCTTGTTCTAGATCGCACACGACCTCGAAGCGTCAGTGCAAGCGACGGCTCGGGCGGTAATGGTATAGCGAGGAGAACGCATGGCATCGACGACGGCTGTCAAGACCATGGCCGCCGCTCATCGAACCATCTTTTCTTCGACGCCGTCGGAAAGGTACTTTACTTTGTTTTGAATATCATATCGTCGCTAAATCGTCATCGATGCAGGCGTTCGAAGTCTCTCACGTTGTACCTCCGCGACCACGCAGCATCAGCGCCAGTGCCGACGACCTCGCGGGACTACCCAAAATGCAGGCGCCCCCGGGATACTTCAACGGGCCTCCCATCCCGTACGGATACCCCGATAGCCCTTACGTGTACGGATCACCTGGTCCGGTCCCATTCCACCCCCATCCGTTCCAGTATCCTGTCTACGGCCATGACTCTACTGGGTATCGGTCTCGTGACGGCGAAACTGCCAGCAACGCTTACTGGACGTACACGGCTCCTCACCTATCCCAAGTCGACTACTTGATCCCTCCTGGTCCCCGTGGTCCAGCGTATACGTCTCCCTGTGCTCCACCTACCCGGCCTTCCCCGAGCGTCGACACTATCTTCGCTAGCCCTTCGTCCTCTCCCCCTCGTCCTGTCTATGGTGGCCGCCAACCGTCGACCCCTCAAGGAAACAGGACAGCCGATCTCTCTCAAGCTGGTGGGCGCTCGCCCGGAGCGAAGAATGTCTTGGACATTGGGGCAATAGAGAACGGAACGGACACACGCACAACGGTCATGATCAAGAACATCCCGAACAAGATGACCGACAAGGATCTGAAGGCCTTCATTGACAAGGTCTGCCCTCGTCGCATCGATTTCATGTACCTTCGTATGGACTTCCAAAACGGTCGGTCATATATGTCGTGCTTCCCTGAATCACGCTAACTTGGATGGATATAGGGTGCAACGTAGGCTACGCTTTTGTCAACTTCATCACGGTCCAAGACCTTCTCCACTTCGCCAAAACCCAGATTGGTGTCAAATGGTACTCGTTCACGTCTCATGTATTGATGCATTCAGACTTACGGCCGCTTCGAAGGAACATGTACTCGAGCGAGAAAACCTTGCACATGTGCTACGCTACATACCAGTATGTCTTTGCTGTCTCCCCTAATGCGTTGTCTTGACCATTCGCATTCATGTGTAGAGGGAAGGAGTCTCTGGTGGAGAAGTTCAAGAACTCTTGTATCATGGACGAGAAGGAAGCGTGGCGCCCGAAGATTTACTACTCCGACGGTTCTAATCAGGGTCTGCACGAACCGTTCCCTGCCCCCACCCACCTTCGACGAAAGGAACGCAGTCAGCACAACCGCGGAGCGCTCTTCGTTCCTGGAACTCATCATCATCCCTCTGGCGGTGGGGGTCTGTACCATCATCGTCCCCATCCACCTCGCATGACCAGCCGCCCTTGAACACCCCCAATCGCCAGTGATTTCGGATACGCATAAAACCTAGATTCGCCGATCCCGAACGCTTTCAGGACTATGACCGATCTCGCAGGTGCCCGTTGAAGTATTTATGAATGTACTACTATTTCTGCTGATTCCTTCGTCGCTCTTCGTTGCATCGTTCGCATTCGCTTTGTCGTTGCCTCGTACACGAGTACCTCAGTGCTTCCATCGAATTCTCTCTCCCCCTATTTGCGATCCTCGCCGTCCATACCCGTCATCTCGCCGAATGTGCATCACCTCCTACGATATACCGTTTTATTTACCGACCCTCGCCTGTCTTTCTGCATACCGAGTTTCGTAATCCGGTCCCTTTGCGCATTACTTCTCCTCGATGTTTTCCTGCCCAGCACGTAATGATCAAATGATACCAGCGACGCGCTCCATCGTTCGAACCAAGGGTCCGCAACAGTCGACCGCATGCAGCGCGGACTAGAGAACTGACGGTGCTCAGATAGTGCTGCCACATTCAAGCGAGGTGTGTTGGGGGCGCAAGCGAGTCAGGGTCATCAGATGTAGGTCCCAGTGTAGCACGTTGTGCGCCAGACGCGTTGGGATGTCGGTCACAGAGCCCGTGTGTGAGACTGGGGACCCTTGCATGCGCGCGGTGTGTTCGCCACGCTCCGGGCTCCGCGCCGCTAGGCTGTGCGCGCCGCGACAAACTCAGCGACGTTCCGACGAAGCCCGGGAGCTGGGCAGAAGCGCGGCACGTTGTGATGGGATCCCTGAGCGACGGGGACGCGAGAGACCCGGGCGGAAGGGGGATGGGACTCGGCCGGTGCGTACGGGTGTGGGCGCGCGGCTGGCGGGGGCTTCCGAGAAGGGGATAGAAGCCGTTGAGAAGCCCGCGCGGGGTGCTCAGGCCTCAGGTGCGCTGCGTTGTGTGGGTTCGTTTGACGGCTGCGTGGGAGGCGCCGTGCCACTAGCCGCGGTTGGGGCGCTTAGTAGGCGGCTTTGTGCTACGGGCCGGCCAGGGCCGGCCCGCGGGCTCAAGGACGGGTGCAAGCAAGCTTCAAGTCCAATTCCAACTCTTGCATTCATCCTCTCCCGCTTTGCCATGTCTGATACCCCGGGCTCTCTAGGCGCAAAAATGGTCGACAGGCGTCTTGAATCCTCTTCAAGGTCCGCCACAATCCGTACTTCGCCCATTCGACGACCCCGGAGAGCGAGAGGACACTCTTACTCTAGTAGGCGATCCCTCGCTTTGCGCTTCAACCTGTGGCTCTCTGGACTTCTGCCTGGCTTTCTGCGGTCCTATCTGGCTCCAATCTCTTTGATGTCTCTGATTTCCCTCGTCTACTGCACTCTGAGTCTCGCTCTGTTTTCTGGGTTCTTGACCACAAGTCTATCTACAAGACTGTTGGGCACGTCTCTGCCACCACAAGGTATGTCCGCGTATATTCGCGGCTTATTCTCGCTAAGCACGGCTCTTTGGAACGCAGAATCCACTTCTCTGGCGCACCTGTTGTCCAAGGCTTCTCCTCTCCTCTCCCCACCTACCTCGCTTGATCCCAACGTCCTCTCCACTAAGCTTGACGAAAATCCGCCGCTCTCTGCTTGCTTGTGGATCACTGAAGACGAAGTAGAGTTGGTACCACGTTGGGCAGAACGGTGGACAGGTGCGTCGCGCTCCCTTCGCTCTCGTTCCCCTCTCCATGCCTCCCACCAGGCCCCATAAGCCTCCTCATCACCACCCCAAGCCCCCGCGGCTCCGCCCAACACAAGGCCCTCCTCTCCGCCCTCTTCCTCGCCCAGAAACGGCACCCCTCCCTCCGGCGGACCCTCGTCGCGCACGTCCTGCACGCGCCCCCGAACGCCGAGCCGCACCCGAACGCGCTCCTCAACCTCGCGCGCCTCCTCGCGCCGAGCGCGACCGTCGCGCTCTTCCCCGCGAACCTCTCCGCCACCGCGCCGCCCAAAACGCTCTTCCGCTCGCTCTCGGGCCCCCTCCCTCACGCGGACGCGAACGCTCACCGAACGGGGGGCGAGGCGACGGCGACGGCGATGGCGACGGTGCTCACGCGGCGCGGGCGCGCGTCGTTCCCGTTCGCGGCGGGCGCGCCGCTCGTCCTCCCGCGCGACGCGCCGACGTGGTGCACGGAGCGGTTCTTCGGCAGCAGCGGCGGCGGCGGCGGGACGGAGGGGCGCGCGAGCGCGAGTGGGAGCAGTGTCTGTGGCAGGTGTGGCTCGCCGCGTTTGGGGAGGTCGGGGTGCGCCAGACGCAGGGGTGGACGGCGCTCGGTCGATCGGAGGAGACGCGAGCTGGGGAGCGGCAGGAAGGCGGGGTGACGGTGAGTGCTCCGTGCTTTTCTCATGCGTCGTCGCGAGCTCATGGGACGCTCCAGGAGAGACTGCAAGAGAGGCTGGTGGGCAGATTCCGGAGCGAGACGTGCGCGCTGGCGATCCGGCGATTCTCGGCTTTGCGAGACCTGGAGAGCAGCGTGGATACCAAGAGGATGCGGTGGCTGAAGCGCACTTGCCGGTCGTGGATGTCATAATGTACGTCTCTGAGAGCTTCATGATTAGTGGTGCGGGAATCATGCGGGCATCGTGAACTCCGCTGTTCTCTTGTAGAATTCAGCCACGCATGATATTTCATACGCATTTCCGATGCAGGTTTTCGAAGGAGGACATGTGCTGGTATGGGAAAACATGGGTTCCTTCCCCTCCATTCCCCGCGAACCAACCATTGCGACTCTCATGCCCGTGCACTCGCGCAACGCTATGTCCCGTACGCTTGTACTAGGGGGGATTTTCACGCGGGGGGCCGCGCCGAGTCAGGCTCGGATATCTCAGCTTGCTAATAACGGTTGAAGGAAGGTTCTGCGCACTCGCAGTACTGTATCCTACATACAGTATTCACTCTAAGGATTTGAACGGGGGAACAAGGTCATGATTGCTAGAGCAATGTTTGTATACATACAATATACGTACGTCAAAAGTGGGGCCAACCGCAATACATTAACTGTACCTGTGGCCACGGACACATCGATAAGTAGCCGCGGCGTATAGGCTACCGATTCCGCATCCATGTGGACAAGCCCTTGTGACGCCGTTCACAATAATCGATGATACGATTTCGTGCGCGTTTTCAGGGAGTTCCCCGTCTTGCATAGACTTGATCCAAGCGGGGAGTTGGGCCTGCACTTTCGCGTCTTGAATGTTCGTGAGCAAGAACTCCCGCTCCATAGTCCTAATCTCATCGTATCTGTGAACGTATCGAGTTGTCAGAGGACATCACTCGTTAGCAGGAGAGCCCATACAGCGACGTAAAGTGCGAGAATAGTTCTGAGAGAATGTTGTCCACCGAAAGCTTTGACTTGATGTCACCAGCAGCCTTCGTCTTGAGCGCCTCGATGTTATACTACATGTGATGATCAGAATGTCGGCCTGCGTTCAAATGGAGAGACGACTTACCTCGTGCGCAAGACGATACATCGACTTGGGTGAACAAGCGGGGCTGCCATTTGCAATATTACGTTGGAGGCGCTGTTGAGATTTGAGTGGTGCGAAGTTGATCTCGTCGAAGTATGCCCAATAAACGAAGGCTCTCATGCTTGGCGAAACATAAGATCAATAATCCATTGCAGCAGATGCAAAAATCTCGTTACTACTCACGTCGCATGAGCAATATGTTGAACATGGATAACCCGCCCAGGCTTGCTTGTCACTGTGGAAATGATGGGGCGGTAATTGCTTGAGGGGTCTGCCCGTATCTGCGAGTCTTGCGCCTTCTGGTCCGAGATATCTAATGTTGACGGCTAATAAGTTCTATGAGCATCGGCGTGCGTTAAAACAAGGGCGAGCGCACCGCCTCAGCCGCCTCGACATCTGTAGGCATTCTTTTTGACATCAAACTGACGCCTTTCAGAGAGTGATCCGGTTCGTCAATGCCGTCCGCGACCACCAGTTCTGCAGTGGCCGAGATAGGTTCGTTGACGTCGTCCAGGACCGCCAGTTCTGTTTCTGTAGTGGCCCACGACGGGATAGTATCTCGAACGTCAATGCCGTCCATGATCACCAATTCTGCAGTGGCCTTGATAGGTTCGTCAACGTAGTCCGCGACCGGGTTTGCAGTGGCCCACGTCAAGCCTATAGGTTCTACGCGGTCCGCAACCGCTGAATTTGCAGTGGGCGAGATAGGTTCGTCAACGCCGTCCGCGACCGCCAGTTTTGCAGTGGGCGAGATAGGTTCATCGAAGGGTTCCTCATCCTCAAGATCGCTGTCTTCATAGTAATCGTACTGACCCGTGGTCGACGGACGAGTAGAGGGGAAAGCGGCTTCCAGGTCAGACACGCGGCCCTCTGCGAATCCGGCTGAAAAAACTAGGAAGTTAGATAAGTAGCCATCCACCCTCCAGCGCAGTGAGACGCGTGAGGTATCTTACTGATTCTGAAATGATCTGTCGTCCGATTGATGAGTTCACTGTTCACGAACAGTGGTAAAGGCGTCCCAACCGAGCCATCGGCCTGGCGACGAGAGAAGGCAAAGAACTTGAGGTCCTCAAAGGCGTGGCCCGACATGCTCTCCAGAAGGGTAGCGCGATGGACCGCGTCCCGGGTGAGTGACGTGGACGATACAAACGAGCGCGAAGGCTGACGAGATTGCGCTGTCGACGTCTTCGCAGCCCCATTCGAGCGACCCCCTTTCTTTGCTTTGGTGCTCATGGGGCGAGGATGAGGTCGAGACCGGAGAAGTCGTTGAGGGGACGTGGGGCCGCCCAGAGCACCCGCCAGGTAAATAGGGCCTCCGAAAGCTACCGCAGCACCACAAGAAGTCCAGACTCTGGCAGGGTGCGATATATCAAAGAAGTCGGTATGTACTTACGTACCGATGGCGCGAAGGTGCTGGATCTGGACACGTGAGGTCGATATCGCGGCAGGAATAAGCGTCCGTCCTGCGTCTGTATCGAGGCCCAATTGAGTTTTCCTGGTCCCAACGGCAATTTGTGAGAGAGGTCGAGAGCCACGGCTGTAATATGATCGTCTTTTCATGCCTGTGTCAATCGTTCTTGAAACCGCGGACCAAGGCGCGGAAACACGACCAGGAAGAGAAAGAGCGGATGCAGGAGAACGAAGAGTGGTTGAAAGGGTACGTCGCGAGCTTTCTCCGAGCCATGTATGCCCAGCTAACTTTATTCTTCTTCGCCCATTCCTCTCGCCCTCTCGCCGGTCTTTGTCTCGCCCGCACGCCAGGGAATAAGCCGAGACGAGGTCGCAAAGATGACCCGCGGAACTTATGAAGCAGCACGAGGGCTCTCTCGAACCCTGGGAAGATGATGATCATTCAGGACGCAGGCAACCGCGGCCCTGGAGTGCCCCGCTTCTACTGCGAGACGTGTAGCCGGACGTACAAGGACAGCGCAGGGTACCTGGACCGTATGTCGTGCTCCTGCGCCGTGCGGTGGCAGGTCTGGCTCGCAGCGTTTGGGGAGGTCGGGGTGCGCTAGACGCAGGGGTGGACGGCGCTCGGTTGATCGGACGAGACGCGAGCTGGGGAGCGGCGGGGGAGGCGGGGCGACGGTGAGTGCTCAGTGCTTTTCTCATGCGGGGCCACGGGCTCACGGGACGCGGTAGGAGAGGCTGCAGGAGAGGTTGGTGGGCAGATTCCGGAGCGAGACATGCGCGCTGGCGATCCGACGGTTCTCGGCTTTGTGAGACCTGGAGAGCGGTGTGGATACCAAGAGGATGCGGTGGCTGAAGCGCACGTGTCGATCGTGGATGTCATAATGTGCGTCTCTGAGAGTTTCATGATTAGTGGCGCGGGAATTATGTGGGCATCGTGAACTCCGCTGTTCTTTTGTGGGCTTCCACCACGCAAGATATTTTCTACAAGTTTCAGGTGCAGTTCTTCGAGCACATAAGCCGCATGGGCTAGCGGACGTTTACATGCGCCATTTCTACAGCCTTCAGGAGTACATCAGAAGTAAGTACCGCAGTTTCTGCATGTGTAATTCGCAGCCGAGCATCCGTTCGGGCACTTCTTGAGTTTTGGGTCACTGGGTTGGGGAAGAGGCCCATTGATGATCTTGAGGACGAGCGACGACAGGATGTCACAGGCGCTTTCCGGCAGCTCGTTGCCCTGCATCGAACGGATCCACGCTGGAAGACGTGCTTGGATGCCGCCGTCCTTGATATTTGCATGCAAATACTCGAGCTCCATGTCCCTGATGTCGTCGTATCTGCATGTAAGCATAGTCAGCACGCGACTTAAAACAAACTAGTCAAACATAGACGGACAGCGATGTGAAGTGAGAGAAGACTTCTTCGAGGATGTTGTGGGGTGACAGCTTCGACTTGATGTCATCCAATGCCTTCTTCTTGAGAACATCCACATTGTACTGCGTTCGCGGTCAGATTCGAGATCGCATACGAGTCAAAATGGGAAGGGCATACTTCATCCGCAAGACGATACATTGATTTTGGCGAACATGTTAGAACGCGTCCCTGCTTTGGCGATACTTGCTGAGATCTGAGCGGGGCGAATTCCACCTCGTCCATATACGTCCAGATGACGAAAGCTTTGAGCCTGAACAAAGTCAGATCGCTTGGATGCTGCCGTTGCGTGCAACTCACGTCTTATACGCATTGTGAACAACGTAGACCACACGACCGGGCTTGCTGATGACCTTGCTTTCCCCTGCAGTCGATCCACGTTCCTCGGCGCGATCGATCGTTTCCAAGTCGTCTGCCTCAGCCGCAGTCTCCTGCTACGTGACACATCTTTCAGAGATGAAAACTACACAAGGTTGCTACGACACATACCTCGGACACCATTTTGCTTGCTCGTGGCAGCTTCACTCCGATGCCCTTCAGCAGGTCGGAGTTTTCGGACTCATCCTTAGGCAGCGTGTCGTCCTCACCGTCCTCATCATCCTCCAGATCGCTGTCTTCGTAGTAGCCATACCCGGTCGTGCTGGACGACCGCGAGGTCGGATACGGAGCGTCCATGTCAGAGATCTTGTTCTCCGCATATCCGCCAGAGAACACTACTTGATGCATCAGCGCATGCGCGCCATGCTCGAGGAGGGAGGAGACGCACTGAGCTCGAAGTAGTCCGTTGTACGATGGATCAGCGCGCTGTTAGCGAAAAGCGGGAGGGGAGTGTGGACGACGACGTATTCGCCGTCGTTGTGGCGCCGCGAGAAAGCGAAGAACTTGAGGTCCTCGAACGGCTGGCCGGTGAGACTCGCGAGAAGCGCCGCGCGCTGCACGTCAACCCGAGGCGTGGAGGCTGACGACATGAGCGGGGTGGGTTTACTGGGAGGGGAGAAGCTTGAGCTTGCTGTGGCTTGGGCGGGCCCGGATTTGCCCTTCTTTTTTGCCTTCATCATATCGAAGCGTCGCGATGAGAGCGGGTGGCACAGACAACGTTGAAGGAGTGGAGTAGACCATCTAGCAAGAGTTGCAGACATCTATAGATAAAGCTCGCTCCACGGCTGCCGCAGCACACATAGAGGACATGTGATGGGTGCAGAACTTCGGTGTTCAACAGTTGTGCCGTAAGATGACGCTCGAGAACTTGGAAACGCGGAGTACGCACCTATGTCGGAAGGCGTCCCACGCAGTAGTGCTGAACACCTGAATTACGGGCCGAACGAAGAGATACAAGAAGAACGGATCGGACATGCGGCGTTAGAGTACGGCGGAGCTACGTCGATCGACCGAGCTTTGCGAAATCACGTTCACTCACGCACAGCCCAACAACGCTGACACAACTCCCGCTGCTCCTCTCGGTAGCTCTCCCTTCTCCATGGCTTCGATCCACGAGGGCAGGCGTCTCCGGATGGTCTCTTGGTTCATGCAGGTGCGAATAAATTGTATCTCGATGTTGCGAACATCGGGATATCTGATAAAGTCGATCTCGTTGATCAACTTGCTGTTGCAGAAGAAAGAGTACATGGCGAATACGCACAGCATCGTGAAGCCCGAGAAGAGCTCTTCGAGGATGTTCTCATGCGTGAGCTTGGAGCGGATGTCGGCGAGAGCGAGCTCCTTCAGCCTCGGGACATCGTACTGCGCGACGGTTAACATCCTCGAAGGCATATCAAGCAAAGCAGATCACACATACTCTATGAGCGATACGGTACATGGATTTCGGAGAGCAAAACGGCGCACTGTACGCGTTCTGTTCTGTGGGCAACATCTTCTGCTGTGACTTGAGCGGAGCGAAATTGAGCTCCTCGTAGTAGGCCCAGAAGATGAACGCTTTGAGGCTAATGAGGAACAGACCAACGTTGGGGGGTGCTGAACGTTGACGGAGAAAAAATGCTTCACTCACGTATGGTACGCAACGTCCTCCACATGGACCACGCGACCCGGTTTTCTGATAGCTGCGACATTCCGACCTATGCCAGAGCCCTCCTCTTTGTGCTCTTTGCCGTCGTCCGGGTTTTCATCCTGGGATACTTCATAAGCATTTGAGTACTGAGCATAGCGCCTGCAGACCCTACCTTAACGTTGCCTTTTCTGCCTGCCGATGGGTCAACCTTGACTCCTACGCGTGCGAGAAGGGGATCGTCCTCCACGTGCTCACCCGAAGGCCCTCCCTCGAACTCGTCTTCGTCTTCGAGATCACTGTCGGCGCCGTAGTCGTACATGTCCGACCTGGAGGACCGCGTCGACGGGAACGGGGCCTCCATCTCCACAACATCACCCTCTGCAAAACCCGTAGAAAGAACTGCGGAGAGCCTGTCGGTGAAAGGCCGGCCCAATCGAAAGGACGAGACTCACCGAACTTGAAGTGGTCCGTGACCTTGTGCAGCAGCCCACTGTTGGCGAGCAACGGGAGCGGCTTGTCGACGATGCCGGTGTGGGATCGCCGGGAGAAGGCCCAGAACTTCACATCCTCAAACGAACGTCCGGAGACACTTGCGAGCATGGCTGCCCTCTGGACTTGGTCTCGGGTCGCGGACGCCATGGAGAGAGGGAGTATTTCTGGTCGCTGGCTCTTCTTGACCTTTGCTGGGCCACGGTCGTCGTATCCAGTGGAGTTCATCGGGAGAGTGAAGATGTGGATGGGTTGGGTTATGCAAAGACGACGGGAAGCAGGAAGCGACGTGAATTAATGCGGGATCGGAAGCATCGACACTGGGTACACGTTGTGAGGCTACCGCAGCACGCCTTCCATGGGTCGCGGGCGAGTTGTAAAAAAAAAATATTCACACCATTGTGAGCATATTTGTTGCTACGATGCCGCCTCATGTGAGCTGCAATGCCATGGGCTTGACGAGTCTGACGAGGCTTCAGTCAGTGGGCTTGGTTGGGCGCTTCGAGGGTATTCCAGAGATGCAGTAACAGAGCGTGGAGGTCGTAGAGAGAGTCGGTAAAATCAGAATGTATACGTGTATTGCTGGACGACAGCGAGAAGGATGAGTCGAAGGGAAATATTGGAGAATGTCCGGCACCACTCAGGCGAGCGTGGGCTGCCCGGCCGCACGGACCGCCCAGCCGCTGGAATCGTCAACGTTTAGAACTTCGGCTCGGATGTACTCTACTGTGTCACTATCGGTCTATGCTCCCATTCTCTGCATCCCTGGCATGTCCGAGCGACGCGGCTGAAGTCGAAGACCCCAGGCCCCACTGCAACTGATTTACTACCTTTGAAGTGATGACGCTGTCCGGGTGTGGGCGTCGTTTTGTAGAAGAATTTGTTTGGAATCTGGGGACTTTTCGAGGGAATTTCGTGCGTTGTCATTCCAATCTTCCTCCAAGTCTCACTTCGTCGTATCGCGGCTTCAAGGGGCTCTGGACTGGGATCAATCCCTACGACATAAACGTGTTCACGAGATTTCTCTCCCTACTACAAGGTTCCTTCCCGTTTGCTCCTCTGTGAACCAACCTCCGCGATTTTCATGCCCGTGCACTCGCGCTACGAGATATCTCGTACGCTTGTGCCAGGGGAGATGTTCACGTGGGAGGTGCCGCGCCGAGTCAGGCTCGCGGTGTCTAAGTGCACATACGAATAACGGTTGGAGGAAGGTTCTGCGCACTCGAGGCGCAAGGCAGTACTATATCGTAGATACAGTATTCGCTCTGAGAACTTGAACGGAGCGACGAGGTTACGATAGCTAGAGCAATGTTTGTATACGTACATCAGTAGTGAAATCGGCCGCAATGCATCAACTGTAATTATGGCCTCGGGCACATCGATAAACAGCGGCGTTGTATAGGTTACCGCCGCCGCATCCATATGGACAATTCTTCGTAGCGCCGCCCTTCACAACAATCGATGATACGATTTCGTGCGCGTTTTCGTGGAGTTCGCCATCTTGCATAGACTTGATCCAAGCGGGGAGCTGAGCCTGCACTTTCGTGTTTTGAATGTTCGCGAGCAAGAACTCCTGCTCTATGGTCCTGATCTCGTCGTATCTGTGACCATATCGAGCTGTCAGGTGGCATCACTCGTCAGCAGGAGAGTTCATACAGCGATGTAAAGTGCGAGAATAATTCTGAGAGAATGTTGTCCACCGAAAGCTTTGACTTGATGTCGTCAGCAGCCTTCGTTTTGAGAGCGTCGATGTTATACTACATATGACGATCAGAATATCGGCCTGCATTAGAATGGTGAGACAACTTACCTCGTGCGCAAGACGGTAAATCGACTTTGGTGAACAAGCGGGGCTGCCTTTCGCAGTATCACGGAGTTGCTGTTGAGATTTCAGTGGTGCGAAGTTGATTTCGTCGAAGTATGCCCAATAAACGAAAGCCCTCATGCTTGGCGAAACATAAAATGAAAAATCCGCTACAGCAGGTACAAAAATCTCGTTACTCACGTCGCATAGGCAATGTGTTGCACGTGGATAACCCGCCCAGGTTTGCTTGTCACTTCGGAGATGGAGCCGTGGTCGTTTGAGGAATCTGCCTGTGCCTGCGAGTCTTGCACCTTCTGGTCTGGGATATCCGATGCGGATGGCTAATAATTCCAATGAGCGTCGGTTCGCGATAAAACAAGGGTGAGCGTACCGCCCCTTCCGCCTCGACATCTGCAGACATTCCTTTTAACATCACACCGACGCGCTTAAGAAATTGATCCGGTTCGTCAACGCCGTCTGCGAGCGCCGGTTTCGTGGCCGAGATATGTTCGTCGAAGGGGTCGTTGTCCTCAAGATCGCTGTCTTCATAGTAACCATACTGATTCGTGGTTGACGGACGAGTAGAGGGGAACGCGGCTTCCAGGTCAGAGACGCGGCCCTCCGCGAACCCGGCTGAGAGAACTGGATCGTTGGGTGAGTAGCGATACACCCTCCGCGAGACGCGTGGCACATCTCACTGATTCTGAAGTGATCTGTCGTCCGATTGATGAGATCACTGTTCACGAACAGCGGTAGAGGCGTCCCGACCGAGCCATCGCCCTGGCGCCGAGAGAAAACAAAGAACTTGAGGTCTTCGAAAGCGTGGCCCGACATGCTCTCCAGAAGGGTAGCGCGATGGACCACGTCCCGGGTGAGTGACGTGGACGATACGAACGAGCGCGGAGGAGGTTGGGTCTTCGCAACCCCTTTTGAGCGACCTTTCTTTGTTTTGGTGCTCATGTTGAAGTGAGGATGGCTGAAGAGTGGATCGAGCCTGGAAAAGTTGGTGGGGGGATGTGGGACCGCGGCTCGCCAAGTGGATCCGCCAGGTAAATAGGGCATGACTGAGCTACCGCAGCACCACAAGAAGTTCAGATTCTGCCAGGGTGTGATATTATCAAGGAAGCCAATATGTACGTACCGTCGACCGATGGCGCGGAGATGCTGGATCTGGACGCGTCTGGTGATCTGCTGGTGTCATAATACAGCGTGAACTGCATCATGGCCGTTGAGGGGATAGTATCACGCAAGGAACAAACACTCGCCCCGCGTCTTTATCGGGGACCGATCGGGTTTTCCTGGTCCCAGCGGCAATGAGGGAAGTGGAGAGTCATGGATGTAGTAGGATCATCTATTCACGTCTGTCAATCGTTCAAAAGGCGGCATTGTGCCCCATGTGAGTCCACAGAGCAGATATCTACTGCAACACACCTGGGCCAGGCTGGTTGAAAGGCTGGTTCCACCCGCCACGCATCCATATGCTAGCCCTACACGGCTCGCGCAATCCATGTTCGAAGCGCCCGTGAACAATAAACTTGTGCTGTGAAGCCCGGACTAAGGGCCCGAGGGGCGTGAGAGCTGTGTGCAATAAAAGCGACAAATGCGGTCGTCAGTGCGAGAAGCGCGAACCAATACTCACAGTAGATTGCATCGACACCGTCGGAGACGGTCGACTTTCTTACTCTGTATAAGAGAGAGCACTTGCACTTGCATACATTGCAGCTTGAGCAGAAATGCACAAGTGCGATGGAGCGAGGTCCGAGGAGCTAAGAAACAGTGGCATTCAATCTGGCGGCTGGCACCACATACTTACATTACAACCAGTGTTCTGCTCAAACACCAAAAGCCCCGACGTGACGTTCACGCAGGTTGACTGCAGAGATAAAAGAACCTGAACGGCGCAGACAGCATGAACGATGATTGCTGCACCATCATAAACAAGTACACTCACCCTGAAAGCTTCAAGAAAGAGGATCAACCACTGTAGCTCCCACATCCATTGCAATAGTAGCGCATCGGTCTGGAATAGGGACAACGCCTGCAAATCGGGGTGATGGGTGCGGCGGGTTTTGGAGGCAACCCCTTTACAACAGCAGCGAAGGCATCTGCTGCCCCCATCGGAAGATCTCCGCTCTCCATGAGCCGGAGCCACTGTGGCAATTGAGACACAATCTCGGGGTTTGTGAGGTGCTCGCTCAAGTATTCAACCTCGAATGCGAGTATCTCGGGATGGCTGAATTCAAGCCACAAAGTTAGCTACATGTAGTTTGAGAGTATCGACACATGTGACGCACAACAACGTGAACGATGAGAATAGCTCCACCAAGATATTGTCCATAGAAAGCCTCGACTTGATGCTTTCGATAGCCAGCCTTCTGAGATCGGTTGCATTGTACTGCGAAAGCAGGTTAAAGCGGGACACTGTGCGAGTATCTGCGACAACACCTTCTCTGCAATCCGGTACATCGATTTGGGTGAGCATTGAGGGGGTTCCAACGGAGTCTTGGGAGTATCTACGGCTTGATTTTGAGATTTGAGCGGCGCAAAGGAAGCCTTGCCAAAATATGCGTAGAATACGAACGCAAGCCATCTGTGTAAATCCAGTGAGCAGGAATGTAGAGGGACAACCAACAGACGCACGTTCGGTATGCAATATCCTGAATGAACACGACACGACCCTTCCTGCCCGTGAAGGAGGAGATCGTGTTACCGACGGCCTTCCCTTTGACATCAGCTTGGTGTTTTTCTTCAACCTCCTCGGCCTCAACAGTGATAAGTCGACTGCTATGTGCAGTGTCGAGAGAGATTTATGCTCACCTTTCTTACTTCTGTGGGTGATCCCAAGACGCCGGGCTGTGCCTCACCCTGGGCCACGGTGCCATCTTGTGAATCTGCGCTTGAGTCAAGTTCATCACTCGGAAAGTCTTCCAGGTCGCTGTCAGACGTGTAGTCGTACTCTTCAGTAAATGATGGACGGTCTTCCGGGAACATGTCGTCCCAGGTCGTGACGACACTTTCACCAAAGCCACCTGCCAATACTAAGGAACGATTTCAGACTGCAATTGGAGAAAAATGGGCGGCTTATCCACGTACCGTAGTCGAAGTGAGAAGAGACCTTGCGGATCAAGGCACTGTTGGCATAGAGAGGGAGAGGGGTATCGACCCGGCCAGTGGCGCTTCGACGGGAGAACACGTAGAATTTAACGTCTTCAAACGGGTTGCCAGTGATGCTGGCGCTCATCGCCAGCTGCGAGACTTCCTCTCGAGTGGCATAGGGTAGATTTTGATACAGCGCAGGCTGCGGTGGCCGGGGAGGGGAAGGAGTGCGGTGGGAGACACTGGCCGGCATGGCAGGCTGGGGGCGGTTGGTAATCTTGCGTCTCCTGCCCTTTTTCTTCCCGCGCTGGAGGGAGGCGGATGAGCTAACGCCAGCGTCGGACATGGCGAGTGACAGTGAAAGGCGCGAAAGGGCACTGTGGTCTGCGGCTTTATAGCACCGAAGTGGAGACTTGCGCGCAACTCGTAGAAGTCCACTTACCGCAGCACCGGACGGCGACAAACTGAATTGTAGACTTCCAGAAAGTTCTTCGGAGATCCCGCTAGGTTTATACGCCGTCGGTAATGATTCGGTTGCCTTGACTCAATGATTCCATGGTGACTTTGAACCTCGATGAGGCCCGCCACGACGTTCACTTGTTTTGCAAGCTGACATAGCAAGCGATGAAAAATTGAAAAGCAAGAGTGGGAAACAGCCACGAGGTCGAAATTTGCGTTTACGGATTAGCATGGCTACTCGCATGGGGGATTTCATGGTGGAAGACAGGGGCTCGAGCATGTCGGGTCTACGAGGGTCTACTAGTCGACCTGAGGGCCTCGGCGCCACTGCTGTGACTGCCCAATCCCATGTCTATAGATCACGTGATCATCATTTGACTGCTGGCGTGCCGTGTGATGTGTCGCGTCTCGCCGAAGAGTCCCAGTCTCCCCAGGGCAGCCCGAGTCACTCGTGCTTAGACCCTGGCCTTGCTCGCCGGTCTTTTCTGTCCACGCACCAGTGCGTGTGCTGCATCGACATCGGTAAAGTTTCATCGTATGGATATGTACTAGCTTCATCAACTTCTACTTCAAGCGCGTTGCCTACCAACTACCGTCCTCAGTGCTCACGTTCTGTCCTTAACATCATCCTTCGCCTTCCGACTCAAATCCTGAGCTTTCCTCGACTTCTCTTCTAGCACTTCCATCACGTCGTCGTAGGTCTCCTTCGCCAACTTCTTCGCATCCTCCCCATGCTCGCGCGACAGCTTCACCAAGATTTCTACGCCCGGGACACGTTTCAATGCGCCCTCACCTCCTGGCATCGATTGCACCCAGGTCTGAAGACCCTCCCATCCTCGCTCTTGCTGCCACCCACCCTGTTCCTCCACCTCGTGAGCCTTCGCGCGACCGTATTCGACGAGCCCCTTCATCTTCGCTTTGTCCTTCGTGATATCGCCGTTGGCCGCCTCCTTGATCTTCCCGAAAACCTCTTCCAAGCCTCCGTGACCTTTCCCCATAGTCATGGTCGTTGAAGTGATGAAGTTGTCGGCATTGTCGGAACGGATTTGCTTCGCCTCAGGATGCTTATCGAGGGATTGGCCGTACGTCTTCATCACCTCATTCCAAGCTTCCTCTGAGGACGACTTGGCCACCTTGCACATGTCCATGGTCTTCGACTGGATCAAGTCTTGGGCCTGGTTCGCGCTCTCCTGCGAGAAGCCCTTGGGGAAGATTTCGTGAATCTGCACGTGTGCATTCATGAGTCGTCTCTGTGCCTCGCCGAGCGTTGACTTATTGATTGAACTCACCTCCTTCGTTGTTTCGTCGTAGAGCTTCTTCGCCTCTGGGTTGGACTTCGCCAACTTCTTCAGCTCCGCGTACCCGCTTCCAAACTGTTCCGTGAGTTGTGGATACTTCGAGCTCGATGAGCTTAGCGCGTCCGACCCCGCTTTCTTCCCCAACTCCTCGAGCTCGACGCTACGCTTGCTAAATACGGCAAGAATCTTCATGGCCGTGCCCATGTCCACGCTCGGTGAGTCCTTGACGATGACGTTAATCTCGTCGTAGACATCCCCAACGATACGATCCAACTCATCCCTGTGGGAGTTGTGGAGATCGTCGATGGTGTCAAACACGGCCTCGATATGAGGATGGGCCCCGGGGATGATGACAAGGCAGGACTGGGCCGCGGAACGGAGGAAGTTGGGAGCCTCGTTCGGGTTCTTGGGCGCGTCGGCGGCGATGGTCTATTTGGTTTGCTTGTAGTACTGCGCGGTCGTCTTGTGCGCGTCGACTACCTCCTTGACCCCGGAGAAATGGTAGAAGGTATAGACTGCACACAACCTGTGTGTGAGACCAACGGATGACAAGCAATACGCATACACTCACCTCCAAGCAGAGCCAGTCCGCCTCCTGCTGCATCCGCGGCCACGGAAGAGGAGGGAGAGGGCCTAGCCCCAGCACCTCCTGCTTCCATGGATTGGAACCTCTGGAATGCCAGCCACGCGACGGGCAGCAAGATATTTAGGAGAGATGCATCGAACGGTGCTTCAGAGAAAGATGGCCGAGTTTATGGTGGGCGACCAGCGATGGGTTGAAAGCATATGTGTAGTATGGTTTGCAGGAACAGAAACTTTATGGAACGCGACTGATCGTCCACGCATACCGCTCGGTCGTCACGGTGGTGCGGTGACGTCGTGCATGAGCGTCGACCGAAGCATCCCCCGACGCATCGTTTGGACACTACTCACAAGGTCTATACATGATTCACATTGTTGGGTCCAGAATTCAGATATCCACCGCCAGTGTTAGGTGAGAACTATTCGCAACGAAAATAATCCAGATTGATTTCGTCCATCCACAGGTCGATGTCCCAAAACCAGTAGCGTAACGCGTTCGAAACACTCCTTGCATAGAGTCGAATGGTCCCACAAACATACACATGCAACCTATTACGTCGACGTCAGTGCTGCTAGTTCCATCAGCTGCGATCATGAGGAAACGCACCTGCCATTCAGCAGCCCAACAGCGATAAGAACACGGATGCCGCGGCTGTGGGAAGTTCACCCCTCTGCATGGCGTCCATCCACGTAGGAAGGCGCCGTCGGATGGTCTCTTGTCCAAGCCATCCCTTGAGGAGCCGTACCTCAGCTTCAAGGACTTCCGGATATCTTGTAATGCTGTCAGTATTTGTTATCCTGCAAGCGAATAATGCAGCACGCTCGAGACGTACAGTGAGCTGAAGGATGAGAAGACTTCCTCGAGAATATTTTCGGCGGATAATTTGGCTGAGATGTCTCTGATGGCGGCCGTTTTCAGATCCGGGATGTCGTACTGGGCAATATTCAAGACATGTTACATGTCCAAGCGAAGACTGCGAGACGCACCCTGTGCGCCAGGCGATACATAGACTTTGGGGAGCACAAAGGTGCATCGTATGCTTTGCTCGTCGCTGGTGGAATCTTCTGTTGAGACTTCAGCGATCTGAAGTTAAGCTCGCCGTAGTACGCCCAGAAGATGAAGGCTTTCAGTCTGTATTTGGCCATCAAAGTTGTTGAAAGGACTCAGCGGAGGTATAACATCGAAAGATCGACTCACGTCTGACACGCAACGTCATCCACGTAAATCACCCTGCCCGGCCTCTTGGTCACCTTCGCAACGTCGCTCTTGGGATTCAGTTGAGAGGGTTCTCCGTCCTTGTCACCATCCGGAGTCTCGTCCTGATCCATGCTCAGTAATTATCCATTACCCGGTTGATGACACGAGCTTACACTCTTATGCGCCTCAGTGGACGTTTCAGAGACCTTTACGCCCACGCGGGCGAGAATGGCATCGTGCGTGAACACGCCCCAATCAATAGCTTCGTCCAGATTCTCGTCTTCCTCGTCGTCTTCATCTTCGAGGTCGCTGTCAGACTCATAGTCGTACGCCTCCAAGCCTCCGAAGCGCGCAACTGGATAAGGAGCGTCCATATCGATAATGCGACTCTCTACAAATCCTTGCGAGAGCACTGATCGTAATGAGTGTACTGACAAGGTTCGTGGTTTGACACGTATACACGCACCATACTTAAAGTGATCAGTGGCTTTATGCATCATCGTAGTGTTCGCAAAAAGGGCGCATGGCTTGTCGACGATTCCGGTGTTTGCGCGTCGAGAGAACGCCCAGATCTTGAGGTCCTCGAACGGTTTGCCAGAGATACTCGCGATCATAATCGCACGCTGGATCTGCTCCTTTTTCTCGGACGTCATCGACATGGTTTGCACGGTTGTCCTCAGCCTGCGAGTACTTTTCTGTTGAGTGTCACCCTTTGGGTCTTTCTTAGAGCCGCTGGGGCGGGAGTGAGAGTCAGACGACATGTCAAACGAGGGGAGAAGATTGCGGTGCCAGAGGAGGCTGGGTGGGGGCGCAATCCGACGTCAGTGATATACTCCACTGAAGCTGAGCGCTGAAGACTCGTGGGTACCTTACGACTGTGCTGCGGCATACCAGTCAGGCGGACCATCCTGCGGAGCGGAAGACACCCATTCGCAGAGACATCGGTCGGCTGGTGAAAGAAGCTCCGAGCGGGAACAGCTTCGGGCCGGTGACACGGCAAGTATGGTCGCCCGTCGCCTACCGCAGCACCTTCCAATAGTGCACGTACCTCGCATAACGGAGCGACAGCCTCAGCCCGTACTAGGGATGCACGTCGCCTGCTTGAATGCGAACCATGTGCAAGTCGGTGGTACTCCGTGATGGTTGAGGCCAAGATTCACAGCGCCTATGCTCCACCCGCTTGCGCCTAGTAACTTCCCTCGAGACGTCACAAAGACATGGGATTCTCTTACGCGGCTTGTCTTTCGAAACTGCGCTCGTTATTCTGCATCTCTACCCTACCTATGCCTATTAAGCGGCTTTCCAAATTGCCCACTCCCGGTGCCATTACTCAAACTCGGGGTCACCGGGGTCGCGGAAGAACTTCGCTGTTTCGACACCACCGCGGCCATCTTCGTGATCAACATAGACATTGCTTTCGGAGCTTCTGACGGCAACCTCCCTTCGGCCATGTATCCCATCCAAATGGGGAGCTCTTTCATAATTTGAGCGCGATCTAGATTCGCGAAGAGATAGTCGACCTCGAGCTGAAGGATCTCGGGAAAACTGCAGAACGATTCAGGATTTAGTGACTTCGCACTGGTACTGCGCCTCTGGACCAGTACACGGTCCAAGTGGATGGAACCGCACCTGGACGTGAACGACGAGAACAGCTCCTGAAAGATGTTATTAGGCGTCAACTTGGAATTGATGTCGGCCGCTGCTTGCTGTTTTACG